ATGTGAATGTAACAAAAAAGGCGAGTGGCAGCAGTTTCCATGCAATATCTGCACAGAATGTTAACAACAGAATGACACTAATGATTGAGGGATTCATTTATTTATTATATTTTTTTTTCTTTAGGCAATATGAAAGTTTCCTTTAAAAAATTGTTATAATTTAAGGTTTCATATTTTTCTTTATTCTAAAACATAAAAGTAAATTTGTTTTTTGTTTAAAATTTGAATAGAAAATAGGTTTATACAAACTGATATGTTGCAACTTTAAGCAAATTTTGAAATGCGTTTTGCTTGAAATGATTTGTCCATGCTCTGCTGACCGTATATAAACCGGCATAAAGTTCAGGCATGAACTCCAAAATGGTGCAGGATGACAACAGCAGAGGCAGAAAATGCTGCAGATTAAAATCTGCTCTCTTTCTGATTCTAAACTTCAGAAACAAAGATGCTAGAATCAGTCAAAGCCAAGTCATTTTCTTCTTAGCTGCTGGACGTTACACCCTCTAAGACAGCACTGACCAAATGTTTGCCCATGAGACCCAAAACTGCCAAGCTGAGAGAAACTCGAAAAGAGAAATATAATTAGAGAAAAATTAAAATGGAGAAATACATTTCCAGTCATTTTTCAAAGAATACTCCAAATATGCAAGACTATAATGATGACAAAGATAAAGTAGTTTAATTTTATAAATAACAGAACAGTGTCTCTTTGCATCAACCATCTGTGCTTGCAGATCAGATTCACTGTCTTTGTTCATTTTGGTCGAAGGCCACAACTTTAGACACCCCAGTCCTCAGAAAACTCCAGCAGCGCCCCAGGGTCAAATCAGAGCGATGAGTTTGTGCCAAACTAGCGCCGCTCCAGAGAACGGCTTTAAAAATGATTAGGCAGAGATTTGGTGTCCCCGTCTTTTACAGCCAAACGCTCTGACTCAGCTGGCAGAAAGTGCAAACGAGAACCCCAGAGCCTCTTTATTTATTTATTTATTTATTTATTTATTTATTTTCCTGGACTCCCTGTAACAGAGGCCAAAGCAGACCGTGCAAACCCTGCGTCCGCTCGCCTCGCAGACGCAGCCATGACTCGGCTAATGTGAGCAACAGTCATGGTTCATAGCTGATTTGCTGCTGAACATGTGTCTGTGCTCTCTGGGCGGGTCCTAGCGGCTCGGCTCAATCAGCCACTTCACTTTGAAGCTTTGCGGCGGGGGAAGAGAGGGAAATACTTATTATGCACCACCTATTTTCTCCAAAGCTCCCCCGGTGTCTCCCAGCACAGCTGACTGAAGTCACTGCTCTCCAGTCTGCAAAGCAGAGCTGCAAGAGGAAACACGGCAAGCAGGGAAAACCTCCACATGTTACGCCACAAAAAGGACTTTTCATAGTTTATTTCAAACCCACAGAGGGTGTCGTCTAATAAAACCTCCGAAGAAGCTGCAGTTTGATGCAGCAGTCCCTGTATGACATCTTCGCTTCCTCCGTCTGTCTTTACAATAAAACAAAAAAGCAGCTCAAACTCCCTCAAAAAAAAAAAAAACCCCACCAAACTTTAAAAGTTACATTCCAAATCAGCAGTCATGTGTCCAGTTTCAACAGAGACGAGCTCTAATCTGCAGCAGTGGGCTTTGTGGAGAAATCAAGCCCACATTAATCCGATTAACTCCAAGGTGCGGAGCTGTGGTGAGGAGAGATGGGCCATACAAATGAATGGATGGTGTTTTCTTCCTGGCTCGGATCGCGTGAGGAAAAGCCGAGGAAACGGCAACGCGGCCGAATGTTGACGAGTCAAAGGCTTGATGTCTGGACCAGGCTCACCAGTATGTTTTTATGGGAATAGTTTCAGTGTGACTGGTTCTATATAAAGTGGAGTGTTGAGGTGTTGTCAGGAAGTCAAAGACATTCCTCGAAGAGGGAAAAAAAAATATTTTCTCTGATGTAATTTTCCATGAATTATCTTCATTGTTTTTTAGTTTAATATGAAATACCGCCTGTGTTTTGTGTATATTTAGATTATGTTAAATGTTACTGTTATTTTCACTTTGATAGACGATGTTTGAGGACACCTTACCTTTCTTGAACTTGTGGATGGGAAGTTTCTTCAGCTGATCCTTCCTCAGACGACTTCTCCGAGCTCTGCGTCGATCCTGGACGAACTTTGTGATCTGGTTTGAAACGTGAAACAAAAGTCCTTCAGGATTTTAGGGATAAGGAGCTAAAGCAGGCCCATCACTAGAAATGCACTGAGGAAATTGACTGGTGACCACGAATCAGATGATTTTTGGATTTAACCCAAATAGGTTCAAAACTCAATAACCGGACCTTTTCCCAAGCAGCGAAAGCATCATATTTAAGCAACAACCAGACTGACCTAAAGAGGAAGTTGGAGTGTTTTCCACATCAGTGAAGTGTTTAAAATCAACATGGAGCACTGCTGAAAACGGCTCTGAAGGCAAAATAACTAGCTGCTGTCTGAAGAGTTGCAAAACGATATATAATTTGCATAACTGACCATTGCATGTAATTTTAATGTAGAAGAGAGTATTAATCGTAGGACACAAGTAAAAACAGCATAAAATGTGCTTTATTTTAATTTTATTTCCAACATAAAAATGTTGTCTGACCTTGATACAGCTGTGATGGATAGTTACATAAGGACTGGGCTGCCTTTGACTGTTTTGAGTCAGTGCATTGAGAACGATATGTGCTTTCACGTAAGACTCCAATAACAACATAAAAAGTTGATCAATTTGATACTAGTTGCTTTTTTGGAAAGAGTGTCACTAAATAAAGCAGCGATGATTAAGAGGAAGCTTTTTTAAAGGAAACGGTATTTTCTATGAGATGTGTGCAGGTCATTCTGGCTGCGACAGAGCAAGCGAGAGCAAGACTTATGTTTATTTTAAAATGATTAAACAATTGATATTTCTGAACATTGTGCCTACACCTTTATCTATTACAACACTTGAACAGGAATTAAAATTGTGGCTAAACTGATATAATCAGGTCAAAAGAGCCAGAGATCAGAAATTAGTTCCTTAAAGAATAATCTCTCATTTCTACCTGCGGCAAGGCATAAAAAAAATACAATATAATGAGCTTGGAAACCAAACTTTGGCCAGTCAGAGCTCAAAGCACACTTTAATGCCAGTAAAATGAGTTTCGAAACAAAGGCTTTACCATGAAAACAACAATGAGGATGAGGCAGATCCCCACTATGATGAGGAAGGGGATCAGGTAATACTCCAGAGGGAGGCTGAAGTCTGGGATCAGGACCAGGTGTCCTCTGGTGAAACAGGCAGAAAACGCATTAAAAAAAAAAAATCATCAACCTTTTAACATGTCAAAGCTACATCACGGCAGCTTATTTTCTCACTGGAGCTGTTCGCATCGATTCTATCGCTACACATTATTCAGTGAGGATTTCCTCAGCTTCTGTTCGCCAGGAAGACTTGTACTCAAAACTGTGCCAACGACATGTTTGCCGTTTATTCACATGACAGGAAAAGCATAAAGCTGACACACACAAACACACCAGCTGATCTTAATGCTGAGCTCACAAGGAGGCCTTCCAAAACCGGAACACATCACATCAGCAGCATCGACGACGTTTCACAGCGAGATTCAGACACTATTTAAAACGAGCATCAATTTTAGCATTGCAAACAGCATTTAGAGAAGCTGAGAAGGAAATGGTTTCTGTTAAGACGGACCTTCGGGCTCAGACTCACCCTTTGTCGTACATGTAGTCGTCTTTGAGAGCATTGGCGGTGAGCTCACTCACAAATGCAGAGGGAATAACTATCTGCTTCAGAACATCCACTAAAAACAGGAAAACAATACATTCATCATGTAAATACAGGCAAAAAGAAATGGTGTGTTTACAGAAAATTAGAAAAAAAACTGCTGTTTTAGCTTTTATTATAGAGCTGCTGCTAACCTGATCTCAAAATGTTATGTGTGTTTGCTTTGGATTGACTAATAAACTACAGCCTATTTATGCAATAACATGTCTCCTGCTCAGCAGCTTTTCTAATCAATGTTTATCATTTGGTAATATATTTTTTTCCACTGGAGTAATTTTTATCTCATTTGTTCTCAACGCTAATCAGTAGACCCATCCTACAATTACACAGTCTCAGTAAAATCGGTAAGGTGGATGAAATTTCAGTTCTGTTTATTTTAATCAAAAGCTTTGGTTCAGGGGATACGTTAAGAATAAATAAAATGTTTTCTGTTTGCTGCCATTTCTGCACTCATTAAACAATAACTACAGCTTTTCAAAGGGGAAGTGAAATGGTCCGTTTAAGTTAAAAAAATCCCTTTGCTCACATTGACATTGACACATCTGGTCGCTCAAAAGGACAGAAGAAAGCCTCTAAAGGTGGTGCTGCACACAGTCTGTAACATCAGCGGCACCAGAACCTCGCTACAGAACATTTGCGCCTGGACTTTTTCCTCTTGTTTAACAATCAAGATACTGAATATTCAGGATTAGTCAGCATGCGAGGGCTACAAGAGTGCATTAACTTACAATCGTTGGATCCCATGCTGATTAAGTCATCAGAGTCCACATTGTGAACAATGGCCGCCTTATATCCAGCTTTTTGTGCATTGAGGACCTGAGTGGAGAGAAAACATTCTGATGAAGGGAAAACACGCTTTTGTAGAGAAAATCAGAGCACTGTTGACTAACGAGTTACAATTAATGACTTGGAAAAATCAAGTGCAGCAATCAAGTTAGGAGATTCAAAGCCAAGAAAGTTACAGCATTATTTCTAACCCTTAAAATCCAATATGGCTGCCATTATGGGTGGGCAATAATGACCTAAACGTGTACTGAGATATTTTGTGGAATCCATCATGATAATCTTAAGTGAGTATTAAAAATTATAAGTCAGTTTTTTTCCAGGCAGAAGATTGTACGGCTGGCCATTCACACCAGAAATTCAACACTAACTGGGATTGATGGTTTACTCTACAAGCCAACTTTAAAAAAAAAAAAAAAAGTTTCATGTCTGCTGCATCATGAATGCAAAGGAAACTGGCATAATGACGAACTTTGCACCTGTAAGGCTGGCTTTGCTGCTCTCACATAGAGGAGCCACAGTATCCTGTTAGTCATTGTTAGAGGAGCTCTCACACAGCAGATGTGAAGAAGGAAATAGGATGTAACAGCATAACCTCACAATGAACCATTGTGTGTTTTAACACAAGGACATAAATGTGGAGCTGAAACCTTTTCTCTATAAAACCCGAGAAGAAAAACAGCCAGAGCTGATTCAATAATAAAATAATCGGCCAGTTTATTCAGAGGTAGCTTCCAACTTCAGCAACTTGATCGTAGATATCAGGGTGCTTTTTTATTTTATGCTCTAATCTCTGTTAATCTGTTTCTACTTCGTTTGAACCTTAAGGTGGATATTTAGCATAAATGGTGGCAAATTGTCTGGGAACCTTTCAACAGTAACGCAATATTTAGTATAGAAAGTACACTTGGACTTAAGAGTCATTGTAAAGATCCATTTAGCATAAATATGCCATAAAAACAAACAGATCTACACAGATCAGACCTGTTCCAGATCCAAAGCTGGACAAAGCCGACTTGTGAAACGACACCATAAAACACAAATGAAAGCAGCGATCGGTGATATTTAGCCATAAAAGACAGCAGAGTTAGATTCTTTTTTTTTTGTCTCCATCATAACCCTGGTGACTGAAGCCACAGAGGAAAGGCTGATGTTAATCATTACTCAGAGTCCGTGTGTCGCCTTCCTGCTGTAAATTAACACACAGAACCAGACGGGGAAGGTGAGAACAGCGTGAGCCTGCGCCGCGTCGAGAACAAAACGAGAGAGAGAGAGAGAGAGAGAGAAGAGGGAAATCTCTTCAGTTCAAGTCCCACTGTAGGACACAAGTGTCGTCTGATGTTTCTTAAAAGACAAAGGATTCTCACTATAACCTGAGAATCAGCTGTGTGTGTATATGCATGAGTCCAAACAAGACTCATTGTCCTCTGCGGCGATGCGAGGAAATCCATTTAGACCTGCCGGGGTGAACGCTGCGAGCGTATCGGGGGCCTTCATGGACGCCAACAGTCCGGCCTTTTGTCTGCTCCTTGTCAGACTGATTTTATGCACAGGCGTACGTGAAGCAGGGCGTATGGTAGTGGCTGTATTGTGGTCGCATGTGTTTGCCTGTGAGGATGCTTTGTGCGGAGGCATCAATGGCTACTAGTGTGCGTCTAGAGGCAGGCCGTCTGGACAAGAGGAACACACAATAAACCGTGTCTGGATGCATTTCTGTGTGGCTGTTTAAAGATGCAAAGTCCGACGACTGGAGAATAATTTATGCACGAAAAGGCTATGAATTTAAAAATCTCTTTTTAAGAGAAATTGCTTTTATTTTATAGTTTATATAATCCCAAATGTGTTTACTGATCATCTTGGTAAACGGGTTGTGTGACCCTCTAAACTGTTTTTCTCCTGTGTTTGTGTAGCACCTGAAGTGATTTACCTCAAATCTTATAATGTCACCAGCTTTAACCCAGAGCCCAGTCTTACAGAACATGTGTGAAGGTGATTAATAAACAAACAACAGCTTTAAACTTAAAAATGTAAGAAGTCTGGGCTGATCCATTTGTCCTTTACTTGTCTTTTAGGAGTGTGATCATGGAGGCTGTAAAGTTTCACAGCATAAGCGTAACATCTGTTCACAGCTGATGTTACATTTTTCAGAGTGTGAAGAAGGTAAGAAATGCTTTTTTGCCAGTTTTTTTTTTTTTTTTTTTTTACAAAAACGTGCAAACAAAAACCTTTGTGTCTTGTGCACTTCCTTCTTCACGAAAAGTAAACAAGAATGGAATGGCATCAAATTTCAGTGGTTCTGGATGTTTCTTTTGTCTTAGTGAAAGAAAACGAGTCATTCCTCCCACTTGCACACGACTCTAGAACCAGACACGTTTGTTCTGGTTGTATTTTCCCAGAAAGCAATGCACTACAGTTCGCTTCCAGGGTTTGGAGGGTTCTCTGGTCCACATGGCATTCACCTTCACCTATGTATCCGAAGAGTTCACCTCACCTAAGCTTTCAGGCGAACCAAAATGTGCTTTTCTGGTCTTCATCAGAGTTTGACTTCAAATGAAGCAGACTTTGTAGAATTCAATAAAAGTGGACAAACGCTTAGATATGCTGGACAGATCCGATAAGACTTTCTTCAGATCTTTATAATAAAAGTGTTTACCGAGCTATTAACTTTACTTACCATATTTTAGCAAGTGAACAAATAATAATAGTAAAAAAAAAACAACAACAACAACTAAAGCTCCCACGGTATCCTCACCACTAGTTAAATTAGCCCAAGCTATGATTTGTTTCCCGTTTTACTCATATTTGGCCAAACACTGGCACAGCCGGTCCTTTTAGGGGACTTTACAGGAAGAATGAGGATCTGGTTCTGGTTTCAGGCTGACTGGATGCCAGTTTGTGCTGCAGTGAGTCTGACTGGGTTCTGCAGAGAAACTCGACCTCTCCTGCCGGCTCACACTTGTGTTTGCATGGGCACCGATAAGCACATTCTAGGCATTCCTGAGACGAATGAGAGGGAAGAAACGGAGAGAGGAGGAAAAAGAGACACGAAGGCCACTGGGAAGGGAAAAAAAAAAAAAATCAATACTGCAGCAGCCAGAAAGACAAAAACAGGCTAATTTGGAAATCAGGAAAAGAGTTTAATTTCCACACCATCGAAGCATCATGATGAAGACAGTTATCTCTTGTAAATATAAATAACAATGTTATTTTAAAGAAGTCTTAGAAAGAATTCCTTTTTTCACATGAGGAAATATGTTTGTGCTCTAATTTACACATGCCACAGTTCAAATGCTTGCAGAAAGTATGTCACTTTATCTGTAAAATTAATTAACAAGCATAAAGCCATTTGCAGTTTGTCGTGCAGGAGACGCAGCTAATATGTGGAGGAAGGTACTCTGCTCATTAAACCAAAATTAAACGTTTTACCCTATATGCAAACTGTTACATGAGCTGCACTGTGCGTAAAACATGGTGGTGGCAGCATCATGGTGAGGGAAGACTTTTGCTTACCTGGGAAAGAGAAGGCGAACAGCGTAAATGGGAACGTGGAAAGAGCTAACTATAGAGCAATCTTAAAAAAAAGTAAAATATATTAAACTTCTCCACATGTACAGTAACATGTGGAGAAGTTGTGAAAGTATGAATATTTGCAGTGTTATTTATAAGTTGTGTTATTCTTTGACATTCTTCCCTTCTAAATGCCAGATATTTTTTTTCAACTGGCTGTGACCTTCAAACTATTTGCTACACGTCCTTCTGGCTGAATAAAGCTGCTGTCTTGAGGCCAAAAGCAAGTCGACTTTACTGTATTGAATAACCAGTATCTGTGTGGAAATGCTAGGCAAAGTGCCGCTGAATACAGAAGAAGGAAAGAAAAAAAAAGAAAAAAAAACATGGTTCTACTCAACCGTATAATGGAAAGGAGGCATTTCAAAGTTGTTTCTACTGCAGGTCAGTGCGCTTTCGATCCTTTTGGCGGATGTGTGTGTGAGTGTGTACAGCTGGTGGACGTGTCTGGGTCGTCTCAGGGAACCAGAGTAGGACTTTGGATGCCTGCTTTTGACCCGAGTTTGTTTATCCTTGTACCAGATGAGCTATAGGTAGATTACATCGTATATACCTCAACCGTCTGATTATATTTGGTTTATTTTAAGCCAGGATCCTTATAACACTGTGTGGAAACAAGACTGCTGATAGCATCACTAACTACTGCTGCATCACCACGCTTTGTGTGTGTGACTGTGGGTGTGTGTGAGTTTGCAGTTCTTTCACTGCTGCGTGGAAATCTGCTGCCAGCAGTCTCTTAATGCAGCGCTGCAGCTAAAACAAACAGTTTATCCCTCCTTTTTTTTTTTTTTTTTACCTTCCTTTTTCATCCAGGAAGGGAACAGAACTTTTTTTGTGTGTGAAGGGAACAGGACCTTTCTGTTCCCTTCCTGGTGTTTTTAAAAAAAAAAAAAAAAAAATTTTCCCAGAACCTGTTCAGCTCAGACCACACGAAGCTTGTGGCAGTTCTTGGTCAGGATTTGCATAAAGCAGACCTGACCTTAGCTTTTTGTAAATGAGCTGGAGCAGCACAGCAGATGGTGAACAAATCTCAAAACAAACTCTTTCTACACCTCAGCAGACAGAAACCAGGATCTAACCACACATCAAATCAGACCATTTTCTCTTCTCTGATCCACACTGTCTCGTGTTTTGTCTAGTTTTTCCTGTTCCCTCCTGCTCCTTTCCCGTGAGCTTTCCCCTCTCACTCCGTCTCTCTTTATGCCAAACTTCCTAGGTAATTTCTCCTTTCCTCTCTGCCCACCCCAATGACCAAACTCCACTCTTATCTCCCTCCATCGAAGCCAAAGTCAAACTCGCTTCCCCTTTTCCTCATTAGCATCGGTAAATTGCTCAAACTACCACCTTCTTCAGAAGCCCGCCCAACCCTTCTCATCTTCCTGGTTTCAGCGTCGACCAACCCCCCTCCGCCTCCTCTGTGTTTCAGAGGAATGCTGCGCAGAGCCGAGTTGGGTCTTACTCTCAAGGTCCAGAGACGGTTGATTAGATAAAGGGTTCAATAAAGCTGCAAACGGCAGGGAGGGGCCACGAGTCCAGATAACAAAGCTCAACTGTAATTCATGCAGTGCACCGTCGGTGCGTTGAAGAGCATAAATGTTTGAACTACAGGTGCAGTAAAGATAATTCAAGCTCCCTTTATTGTTGCTTCCTTCTCAAGCCAGGTGTTTGCCAAGCCAGCTCTGTACCAGAGTTGTACAGTCTTTATCAGATCACGCTACAACGGCACTTTCATTAGACATTCTTGAAACGAACCGACACGAGTAGTAAGGAAGTGTTTTGGACGGAAGAATATGAAAAGTGTGGCGTGTATTTGTAATTAGCCAATAGGAAAAAAAAACATAGTAAATCTGAATTTCACTGTAGCTGCAATATTATTTGTGTGCAAATCTAGTCAGTGTCATTTGTGTTCAATCCTTAGGACAGATTAAACTGTGAGCATCTGAGAACAGAGCATTCAATAATTTCACTGAACTGATCCGGAACCACAAAGCATTCTGGGGGATGTAGGCAGGGAAAAAGTTTTAACCACTCAACCTCTAACAGCCGGCTAAGCCAAGTTGGTGGCATCAACTAACTCACTCACTCTTTGGTTACCTAGCAACAACTTGTAGAATAACTTATGGTAACCTAGCAACAATCAGCTGGTGCAGCCCCAGTTTCAGGTTTTGCCCCCAGGCCTCATAACTGATTGAAAAAAAAAAAAAAAGAAAAAGTGAGTGAAAAATCAATAATCAATAATTACCGACATCAACTGATATGAAATGCTTGCATCATGATACGTTGTTCAACCATGTCGTCCCCCAGACTTAGATTGGTCTCTCTTAAAAATTCTGCTAAGAATACGACGACGTCTGCAGCCTTAGTGGAAAAATATGGAGATGTTTCAGAAGGACAAATATATTTTGAGTGCTTCATGTTTTTGCGCCTGTGAGTCTTGGAGGTCAGAGATATCAAGTCTGAGCTGTTTGTTGCCACAACAAATTGCAAAGACACGACGTCAGCCCAGCAAGAGAAACGCCAATATGAGATCTGTCCAGTTCCACCATTTTCTCACAAACACGTTTCTTCAGCGAGTCATACGTCCAGTCAGCCGAAGTCACACCCTGTCATAAGACTATGAGCGTGTGCAGGAGGCCATATCCTGGTTTGAGTGAAGACAGAAGCCTCTGTGTGTGCGTGTGTGTGTGCGTGTGTGGAGCAGGGAGGGTGCTGGGGGCGTTAGGTCACTGCACCGCAAACAGGCTTTGCTATGAAAAGTATTTCACTGGAAGGAAGAGCTGGGAAGGAAGAATGGCTTAGAGGGGAAATCACTGGCCTCAGGGGCAGATGCCCTGCTGCTGGTGAAATCACATACCAGGGCTGACTTAAATTGATGAACATATGACACCGTTTCATACCTGTGACTTCTGTAAACTAAAATCAAGGTGTTGTTTTAAGACTACTCCCTGCTAATCTACATCTTTCCAGTCATGCTTTATCTGCTGATAAAAAAACCAAAGAGGAAGGAACTTCACCAGACGATAACGTCAAGTGAGTTAGGGAACTTTGACCCTCCTCACCTTTCTGGGATTTCTTCTCTTTCTCTTTGATTTATGTACCAGCAGAAACTGGGCGGATCTGCAATTCAACTGTTGGTACTTTTCGCTTAGTTTCAGAACATGTACTCTGTTCTCCTTTTCCCGCTCAGGTTAGGCTTCAACTTGTGAAAAAAAAACATAAAGTGACCTAGATAGATAAGCAATAGTCTCATAGCAACAAAAGGTATAAGGTGTAAACATGTCAGCTAAACCGTCTGAACTCACAGGACTGGTCCAACCAGTTTTCCACGTCATTGCAGTAATTTAGTTTTTACAGCACCCTTCCAAAAACCATAAACTTCTGGATTAGTAAGAATAAAGTAGCAATTGAAAAGCATATTGCTTTTTTTAAAGTAATATCTTCTTTAATAAGTACACAGAATGAAATAAAGTAATTTAGATCCAAGGTGCCTCAAACTGTGGTACGAGAACCGCTTGTTGTACTCGGATCACCTTTATCAGCACTAAGAAGAAATGTATCCACTATTCAAAAGGTGAATGTGGAGCTAATTAGCTAATAAGCTCTTTCTTTCTTTGTATTTTATTTATTCAAACATTAGAGCAACAGATTCACTAACATGCATTGTATTGTATGAAATATTAAATAAGACATAAATCAGAGGTATAAATAACCAAAAACGCCACTGACGGGATGTTTTAAACATGCACTATTACGCAAAATTAACCTTTTGCATGTTTCCGTGCTTCCATATGGGATTCTCCTGCTTCTAGAAACAGTCAGTCAGAACTGACCGGGTGAAATCTCAATATCCGAGAATGATTTTCTGTATTAAATGTAATGAATATGTTTGGTATAGCCCACAGACCTATCCTGTAGCTTGGTGGGAGATACCTCAGACTTTCTGATACAGAAAGTTTCCGTTTAGTTTAATTAGAAACTAAAGTATCCTCCTCCATCCCAATATACAAATGGACAATGAATGTTTTAAGTTATGTCATGTTTAAATTGTTTTGAAATGTGTGCCGGTATTAAAATAAAACTTATTTTTGATACTTTTTACAAAAGGCTGTGCCCAAAATTATTCATACTTATGACCATGTTGGATTTAAATTAAAGTTTTAATTCAAATCTAAATTTGCGAGGGGTGTGAATACTTTAGGCTCAACTGTGGGTGTAACCCGGCTATTATTCCTTTTGTTCAAGTAATGGCTGCTAACTCCTCTGTTGCTATAACTATAGAAACTCATCTTGTTGAACTGATAGTAGCTGCAGAAGTAATGTGTTTGTGTAATTTTTTAAAATGTTGCTCCCTTCTCTATGCAAACGCTTATTGAACACAAGTGCAGAAACCTGAACTGTGCAAGCTACACTATATTTCTCATCCACTTTTAAATCTAACTACATGTGCATGTAGTTAGATTTGTTCTTTGTGAACAATGTTGCATCAGCACAAAGTGCCTTGCCCACTGAATCACAGCGCGACAAAGGTTTCAGGTTGGGAAATTTCCACCAGAGGAAAAAAAAAAAAAAGCTCAGCAATCCGGTAGGTGTTTTTTTTTTTTTCTTTCACACGGCTATTATGCAATATTTTTTGCACTGCGCTTCTAACGTACAATCATTCATCTTTGCAAGACAGAACAAAATAATGTTTTCTTTAGCGAAACATGATTGAATGATTACACAGATCATTGTGTCTGATTACACCGTTCTTACTCATTTCTATATAACATTTCTGCTGTTGTCGCACGTGTTTTCTACACTGATATTCTGTATTGTAAATAGCCTGTCTTTTTTTAATGTTCAACAAGCATACTATGTATATTTTTGAAAAAGTCACAATGAGACCGTGAGTCAGATTCATTTTCACCGTATTTTTATGTTACAGTCTTGTGCAGTATATGATTATTATTATTGTTATTGTTCTTCTTCTTTTTTATATATATTGTTTTAACACTTTAGGAACTTGTTTTGTGATCCTTTATATGTGATGCTGCGGTTACACCCAAATTTCCATTTTGTGGGACAATAAAAGCTGTTTCTACTCTACAATACATACAAACAATATTCATATTTACTGATGTGCCGGTGCGTCTGTCATTAAAGAGAAAACGGAGATGAATGGGTAAGTCAACAAGAAATGCACGGCTATTAAAACAGGGTGTTGACTTAAGGGAAATTGCAGGGGGGAAAAAAGCTCTGGAGTTTCCTGTGCAACCCCCTCCCTCCGTGTCAGAGGTCACCAGTGAGGTCACCAGTGAGGTCACCAGTGAGGTCACCAGCGAGGCGCTCCCCCAACACCTCAAAGAGTCCCGGCCATACAGGAAGCTCAAACCCTCACCCTCTGGAGATGTTTCAGAAAGAGCAACCATGAAGGAATGCACAAAGAGTGATTATTAACATCTCTCTAATTGATCCCTTTTGTTCCCCCTCCATCTCTGACACACACTCCTCGACATTCGACCTCACACTGGGGAGGGCATGCCTGTAAAAGTCTGTATGCATCTTCTGATGTCTTCCCCCTCACCTTAACACGCAGCCATGCTCCATAGGGGGAAATGCTAACACTTTAAGGAAGGTTAAGTGGGTTAGCGTGTTTTTATTGGCCATTACGGTCACGGATCCATTAAAACGCCACTGCGTCTGGATGCTGCAGAAGGACAGAAAGAATATATCAACACAGTGAGCTTGTTGGAGGGGGTGGGGTATGCGACACCCCTGGACTAAACACCCACACAGACAAGTGGCTCTTCTCAGTCAAGATGGGATCTATTATCCCTTTGTTTCCCTGCAGCTTCTGGGGGAACAGATCCAGACTAAGAGAGGAGAAAAGAGGAAGGAGGGAGGTTTTCCTTTGTATGGGGTGTGTGTGACTGAAAGGACGGGGTGGAGGGTCGACAGCGGCACGGCAGTGTCAATGTGTGAGCAAGAGATGGCCAACAAGAGTTAAGGCGAGGGACAGCCAAGATACGAGGAAAAAGGAAAGCGAGTGATGGAGAAACAAAGCCTGCCATGTGAGGAAGGGAAGAAGTGTGTGTGGATGTGTGCGTCTAAGAGAAAAGAGCTGTTAGATTGTAGCTGTGTGTCCATGTGATGATGTCTCCAGGTATGACTGCTCATTATGGCAGAGGCTCAAGCCAGATCTCCCAGACAGACTGAAGGGATGCAGAAAGGAATCGGGGGAAACGGAAAAATGACGTCTTCCCAAAAAGAAACAAATCTGCAACCAGTTTCACCTTCACTGCAACTTGGGTTTATGGCAACTTTTAGAGCCAGTTAATTTTTAAAGACTCACTATTTATAGACTGAAAACAACATTAGGGGAATAGATCATGACTGCAACTCCTCTATGCAAAAACGTCCACTTAAACCAATTTCATTAGAGACAACCTGGACCTTTGCCCATAATCATTTCGTCTCCTCGTCGTACGAGAGCAGAGAAAACGTCAACACAGTGCTTAGTAAAAGTATTCGTGGTTTTTTTGAGAAAGTATGTGAAAACGGGGCTGATTATATGCAGCTGCTTTGAGTCAGTATGTTGTAGAATAAATAACCTTTCCCTGTAATTGAAGCTGCAAGTGTTTCTGACGTCTCCAGCTTTTAAAACTGAAATATTATCAATGTCTTAGCATAATAAATCAAGCTCAGACAGACTGGATGGATAGTGTCAATAAAGACCCATTTTTGAGTGAGTCTTTGTTGGTTTTACGCCTGGACTTGATTACTTAGCATTTAGCTCCATCCACCCCCCAGCAGCCACCCAGCATTATGCTGCCACCACTATGTTTCATGGGAGGGATTATGTGTTCAGGCCTAAAAGTTCAAGTTTAGTCTCATCTTACTCTTTGTTTGCTGAACCCCCCTCATGGCTTAAACCAGTTAGTTGCACTGGGTTTAATTTAGGGGTATTAGAGTTTTATTATTAACTCTAATAATAGAGTTAATATTATTAGAGTACTTGAATATCTCTAATATTCAAGTACTCTTGAATATCTCATTAAATCTCATTGAAATAGATGCTGAGACTTTCATTCTTGCAGTGTGAGAAAGTTCAGAAGGCAGAAATAATTTCACAAAGCACTGCATCGGCCCAGATCAATACTGACATGTTAAAAATGACTAATATCAGCCAATACTTACATTAATGCTAAGACAACGTGCATCCCTAACTATAAAAACTACCCAATGGAATCAGTGACCTTCAGACGACTGTAATTTGTTTAATTAGAACCAGACAGGATGCAATAAAGTGCTCCACAGTGGAGGGAAACGCCAACGTGTCAGACAGTTCAACAAGAAGCTAAAAAGACAAATCATGTGACAAAAATGTTGGGTTGTTTTACAACATACTGAACAAAAACCAGCCAAACTGTCTTTAAAAGTTAATCAGATGCTGTTGGCGACTGAAATTTACTAGGATCTTTTTTTATTTAAAGACATCTTGACATAGTTTAGTAAAAGTGACACCACCTACAAAGCTACTTTATTGTCTATTAAATGTACATAAAGCGGCCGTTTTCCTCTGGAATATAGCAAGACCGTACAAATAAATCCAAAGCAAACAAATCACTTTAAATATGTACAGACTCACACGCTGTCATTTATGTGAACACACAAAAAAACAAACAAAACAAAAAAAGACAGAATGAATATGAATGAAAGGAAAGGAAGAGAATAAACTTTTATCACATCACATGAAAGTTGTTGAAGAGCCAATCAGAGGCAGGTCAGAAAGCGTGCACAGCTTTGTAGAGTCTGGTTACACTCCAGTCCAGGAAACATCACTGCCCAGTCTGTCAACATGTTTCTGCGTTTGTGTGATGCAGCTCGACCTTATAAGGCCATGCGGCTGCAACAGCGCGAAATAACGGCGAGGCGGAGAAGACAAAGAGGGATACGGTAAATAAAAAATAAAAAAAACTTGGAAATGTTAGACTCCGTGGATCAGAAAGCGTAAAGAACGGAAGTGAAAAAGTTCCTGCTCACAGAGACAGAGTGAGCAGGAGAGCTGGAGATCAGTTCAAAGACAGATTCCAAGCTTCTTAGTACTCATCTCAGCTCTCACTGTTTTAACTCCATCTCTCCCTCTGTTCTTCATTACTTTTTCCTCACTGTTCTGCCATTTATTTACAGCAGAGAACTGAAAAACGATCTTTTGACACGGGCAGTTTGAAGCTCTTGTGTGAGGAGTCAGTTCTCACATTCACAAGACAATTCACAAGACCCAGAGGGGATTTTTTTTTCC